AGAAGAAGAAGAAGAAGAAGAAAAAGAAAAAGAAAAAGAAGAAAAAGAAGAAAAAGAAGAAGAAGAAAAAGGAAGGAAGGTCGTAGAATGAAGCGATCCTCGTGATTCTCAGCACCTCTTGTGTTCACAAACGGTATGGGGAGAAAGTTTCGAAGGCAGGAAGTGAAGTAGGTCACGACTTTGACCGCTCACAAGGTCCACACTCCCGCGGCGAGGAAGGAACGCTACTTCATGCCAGTCGCTTTGGTGTTTGCGTTCGCGCGCACGTGGTTTGTCCACCACCAATCCGATCGTTTATGTTCTCTTATGGTAAATGCCCATCGTGAATAGGATGCTCGCTTCAATGAACCCTACGATATAATATATATATATGTTACTGTGAAAGACTGAAATTGGATAATATCAAGATTCACATGGTCGTTCGGTGTACGTCCGAAATATTAATGTATAAAAATAAACTCAAATATTCGGTCTTTTACTGACGTATTTGGTATGTGTTGACAAGCGCCCATGTGAATCTTGACATTCTCCATTTTCGGTTTTTCACGGTAACATATACACGTATATGATATGTACATTGTATATTCTTTTCCTTTTTCGTCTCGTAGCCCTTTCTTGGTTTTATCATATCTGTCTTTTTGAAGTGAATATTTTTAGGCGACGGTAACGATAAAATTTTATGAAACGACATAGAGATAGGAAGGGTGAGTGGGATAGAATCCCATAGTCGATCGATAGTTGAACAGAATTATAGAAGGTTCTAATGTTGGTGTGTATGTCTGTGTCTGTGTATATGTAGGGATGTGAAATATCTTGGGAATGTTCGATATATCTTAAATGATTGTTAATTTATTAATCTAATAAAATGTATATTGCAGTCTAAAAGCAGGAAGTATAATTTTAATTTACTCGTCCTCTTCGAAATCCACTGTTAGATTGGTTCATTGTCATCTATAAAAGTCAGTTTTCTTTTCTTGATTGTTTTGTAGTGAAAATACATACCACTGTGCAAATCATATGCAATAAATATGTTGAAATATGCATAAATATGTGAGCCGTTTATTTTGAAAGTGGCCTAAATTCATTTATGTTCGAATCGAGATATTGAAGAGTTTACGTTTCAATGCAATTAAAAATATACATACAGAATACTAATGAGTCATACTACTTAAGTATATATAAAGAAGTAAATTTATAGTTCCTATTAAAATGTAATGGCAATTATTATATGAATAATATTTCTTATCAAGAATGGAGTTAGGCTATTTTCAAAATAAATGGCATATATTTATATATATATATATATATATATATATATAT